ATTCTCGTAGCCACTGATTTCCATAAACGTTTCATGGAGCCCCATCTCATTAGATCTGCAGTTGTAGTAGCAGTCAAGTAGGTCTAGATTCTCAGTTTATGTACAATGTTAAGCTCAGCATTTGTGATTTAAATAATGAAAAATCACACAGATAAATGCCTGGGTGCCATCTGTTTATATTATATAGTTGAAAATGAAATATGATATATATTTATTAACTACTGTTTAAAAGGTTTAGTTTATTTCTTACAATGTTACTGAGTGAAAGAGAAAAAAAATCAATATTTGGTATGTCCACTCTTTACCCTCAAAGCAGCATCAATTCTTCTAGGCACATTTGTACATATAGGCCTCTATTACAAACGATATGTAATATTGCCAGTTCATTGGCTCCCAATAAAACTTTTATCAGTTTTGATTGATTTTATATTGTACTTGTCACGGGTTTGAAGTGAATGGGCTCGGTATGCAGAGCAGAGATTTTATACGGACATTGATATGCCACACCTGTGAGGTGGATGGATTATCTCGGCAAAGGAGAAGTGATTATTAACACAGATTTAGACAGATTTGTGAATATTTAAGAGAAATAGGCCTTTTGTGTGCATAGAAAAAATCTTAGATCTTTGAGTTCAGCTCATGAAAAATGGGGGCAAAAAAAAAATTTTGCGTTTATATTTTTGTCCCGTGTAAATCGATCAGAACAAATAAAAGGCTTAACGAAAGCCAATAAACTGCCGATAATACATATACGCTGGAATGTAATTGAGGCCCATTGACCTACCAAATCTCTGTGAAAGTGTACCTAGAAGAATGATGCTGCTTTAACCCCTTAAGGACCAAACTTCTGCAATAAAAGGGAATCATGACATGTCACACATGTCATGTGTCCTTAAGGGGTTAAAGGCAAAGTGTGGTCACATCAAATATTGATTTGATTTACAGTTTTCTTCTGTTAAAATCAACATATATTAGACATGTGCAATTCGGATTGGCCCGAAGGGAAATTTTGACGAAATTCTGATATTCTGATGCTTTCAAATGGCCGAATTGCCAAAGTGCCGAATTTCCGAAGTATCAAAGTGCCGAATTTCCGAACCGAAATGAATTTCAGAAGTGCCGAATTTCAGAAGTGCCGAAGTGCTTCAGACTGCTGAAAAGTGGCAAAAGGGTTAGGGGTAGTATTGGGGTTAGGGTAGGGTTAGGAGTAGGGTTAGGGTTGGGCTAGGAGTAGGGTTAGAGTTAGGGTAGGGTTAGGAGTAGGGCTTGGCTTAGGGTTGGGTTAGGAGTAGGGTTAAGGTAGGGTTAGGGTTATGGTTAAGGTAGGGTTAGGGTAGGGGTACCTCTACCCCTAACCCACCCCTAACCCTACTCCTAACCTACCCCTAACCCTACCCTAACCATAACCCTACTCATAACCCAACCCTAACCCTACTCCTAACCCTAACAGTACTCCTAACCCTACTCCCAACCCTAACCCTACTCCTAACCCTACCCTAACCCTACTCCTAACCCAACAAACCAAAATCCTGAATTTCGGAATACCTAACCGAAACAAATATTTTGCCCATGCACATCCCTAACATATAATTAAAAATATATAATTAAGTTTAATTAAATGTAATAAACTTTAAGAAAATGAGAAGTGAAAATTTGATTACTGTTTTTCTACAATTGTGCTTAAAGGTTTGCATACCCTGGCAGAAATTGTGAAATTTTGGCATTGATTTTGAAAATATGACTGATCATGCAAAAATATGCTTTTTATTGAAGGATAGTGATCGTATGAAGCCATTTATTATCACATAGTTGTTTGGCTCCTTTTTAAATCATAATGATAACAAAAATTACCCCAATGGTCCTGATAAAAAGTTTACATATCCTTGAATGTTTAACCATGTTAATTTTCCACACCTGTGGCTTTTTAAATTGCAATTAGTGTCTGTGTATAAATAGTCAAGGAGTTTGTTAGCTCTCACATGGATGCACTGAGCAGGCCAGATACTGAGCAAGGGGGAGCAAAAAAGAACTGTCAAAAGACCTGCGTAACAAGGTAATAGAACATTATAAAGATGGGAAAAAAAGAAAAAGACATCCAAAGCAATAAAAAATGCCAGTCAGTAATGTTCAATCACTTATTACGAAGTGGAAAGTTTGGGGTTCTCTTAATACCAAGCCAAGGTCAAGTAGACCAAGAAAGATTTCAGAAACAACTGCCAGAAGAATTGTTCGGGATATAAAGAAAAACCCACAGGTAACCTCAGGAGGACTACATGCTGATCTTGAAAAAGACGTTGTGGTTGTTTCAAGGAGCACAATACAACGATAATTGAACAAAAAAGGACTGGATGGTCGAGTTGTCAGAAAGAAGCCTTTACTTCGCCAATGCCACAAAAAAGCCCAGGTATAATATGCATGACAACACTTTGGCACATCTCACAGCTTCTGGCCTACTGTAATTTGGAGTGACGAGACCAAAACAGAGCTTTATGGCCACAACCATAAGTGCTATGTTTGTAGAAGGGTCAAGAAAGTCAGTCGTAAAAAGAATACCATTCCCACTGTGAAGCATGGTGGAAACTCACTGATGTTTTTTTTTGGGGGGGTGGGGGAGGAGGAGGTGAGCTCTAAAGGACTGGGGAATCTTGTGAAACTTGATGACAAGATGAATGATGAATGCAGCATGTTATCAGAAAAAAATTGGCAGGCAATTTGCATTCCTGTGCACGAAGGCTGCGCATGGGACGATCTTGGACTTTCCAGCATGGCAATGACCCTAAGCACAAGGCCAAGTTGACCCTTCAGTGGTTACAGCAGAATCAGGTGAAGGTTCTGGATGGCCATCACAGTCTCATGACCTTAATATCATTGAGCCACTCTGGGGAGATCTTAAACGTGCGGTTCATGCAAGACGACCAAATACTTTGTATGACCAGGAGTCCTTTTGCCAAGATGAATGGGCAGCTAGAACACTTGCAAGAATTAGGGGCCTCATAGACAACTATTACAAAAGACTGCACGCTGTTATTGATGCTAAAGGGGCAATACACAAAATTAAGAACTAAGGGTATGCAGTCTTTTGAACAGGGGTCATTTCATTTTTTACTTTGTTACCATGTTTTGTTTTATGATTGAGCCATTTTGCTATAGCCTACAGTTGAAAATGAATCTCATAAGAAATAAAAGAAATGTGTTTTGTTTCAGATAGAAGCTCAAGCAAGTAATAGTAATTCAGGTGATACATATATATGGCTCCCCTAAAAGCTGAACCTTCCTAATGTTGTCACTGAGTGTAGGACACCATTTGAGTGTGTTTTATTTATACACATTGAACATAGACATCACCCCTATAAATAACATTTTCCTCTCGTCTAGGCATCTCATATTACATGTGCTTTACCATCACAAACATGGTTATTTATGTTGAACTCTGACTAAGGCTATGTCACAAGCTAATGTTGATTCAGAAGCAATCACACAACAGCATGTTCTCTTACGCTAACACGAATAAAAGAACTAGTTGTTCAACCAAGAAGTACTAATTACTAGGAAACCAGTTGGATCCTTTTTCAGGTGGGCTCGTGTATTTACACACAAGTCATATTAAGATTGATGAGATTAAATAATGGCAATTTCGAAGAAGGATATATAGTACAACCTATTTCTTAACTGAAAAAGAAAAACATCATAAAGCAGTTAAACGTATTCTCTTCAATACAATTAGATTTCTGACAAATACTGATCATCTCCAAGTTTAACTTTCTTTTACTTATTTCACACCTACTGATTTTTTTTTTTAATATAACTGAACCACAATCTATATACAAAATTGTAGTTTTCTCATTAGTTTTTTTTATTTTTTATTCTTAATTCTTTATTTTTCAGTGCATTTACATTGGAGCAAGCAAACTTGTGATGCCACAACAGCATAGACAAGTCATTAAGAGGCATTTACAGAAACATAGATCATAGCTAGTAAACACGTGGCGCATGTGTATATAGGTAGGAACAAGTAATAGGCAACAATCATATCGTTATTGTCCCGCTGCTACGTGGAATGCTCAATAGTCGAAGGAAATAGCATGTAATTGTGCAGTCGGAATAAAACAGTAGAAGTGGTTATGCACTTTTTTATTTTTTAAGTGAGGCGAGTGTGCCCAGGCTTTTGGTACCCATAAGGGGATCAGGGTGTAATTAAGTAAGGAGAGTGCATGGTCTGTGTTATGTTCTTACCAGTGGTTGGATGTCACATTCCTCTTTTGCTTGGGGAGGGGGCATAAAGTGGTAGGTTAGTTCTGTTTTTTTTCACGTTATAAGTTGGCATTTGTGCCCCTGTGTAAGCCTCTGTCAGAGCCATGGCAAAGGTTGTGTGTCGAGTGTGTGGTGCGTGGATCGTGAATAGTGTCGGCCCCTAACCTAAGAGGGTCACGAGGGGAGGGGGCTTATCATAGCCTGTTTAAGGGGAAACAGTAACTAAACTTGGACTAAGGAGAGAACAACAGGCTGAACTTAGATAGTAGAACAGCAGAACATGGAAAAAAGTAATATGCATTGTATGAGGTGTTCATGTCACCGCCTCCTGCTACTCCTGGGGAAGAATGGAACAGTTCATTCTGGATCCCATTCATGGGGGGTTGGTGGTGTCCCTAGTGTTTAGGTGCTCAGTGTTAGTCCCCATTTTTGGAGGAAGGCAGTGGCCTCCGACAGCGTGGAGAGTTTTAGGACATCGTCTCCACTGATAACTGCCAAGTTCTCTGCAACAGCCATCTATATTCCACTTTCCCTTTCCGAAGTTGTGCCATCAATTCACCCAAGGACTTTTCGAGTGTTCCAAGTGATGTCTTGGAAAAAGGTAAGTAGTGAAGACTCAAAGTCCAGTGGTGTCTTGCCTCTTCTGTCTGTCTGACGTGGAATGGCAACGGACTATGACGTCCTTTGGATCCATTGTGGGTGCCCGTTTGGCCTTGTTTATGTGAAAGTGGCCATCGAATTCCAGCTTTTTAGCCTGAGTGTGCAGCAGGAGTACTGTCGTGAGTCTCCTCAGGAACTGTAGCTGTATTCATGCACCTGCTGCGGTCTTCCATGAGGTCTAGTGTGTTTTGAAATGCTGTGTTTGCAGACTGTAAGTATTGCAGGGTATCCCCCATACTCTTCACCTCTTGTCTGAGATATAATATGTCCTCTTCAGAGGCCTGTACCCGTGCTGTCACTGCCTGCATTTCTGTTCTCACCAGGTTTATGTCAGCATCAAACATCTGCTTTGTTTCTTGCAGTAGGTGCCTGATATCCTTTTTGGGAGCTGGGGCTGAGTCATCCCCTTCTGCTTGTGGGCTGCTGGGGGACTCTGCTAGTCGGTCTGTTCTGTGTCCCTCTGACAGATGTTCCGAACATGTGGAGCCAGTCTCAGGGTCCTGTTCAGCTGCCATCTTGAGTCTTGCGGTGCGTTGCAGTAGGGCCCCTATATCCCCAGAATGTATGGCACGGATGGGAGTTCCAGGGAGCTCTAGAACGTATAGCACAATGGGAGTTCCCCCTTCTCTGGTGCTCCCCTCCCAGTGTTCCCTTATTAGATCTAATGGCTCCCTGACTCGCCTCCCGTACAGTAACTTGAAGGGGGCGAAGCCTGTAGACTCTTGGGGTACTTCACTATAGGTGAACAGCAAATCGGTCAGAAACCGTTCCCAATCCTTGTGGGTGACCGTGAACATTTTAAGCATCTGTTTCAGAGTGCCGTTAAAATGCTCATATAACCCATTAGTTTGGGGATGGTAGGGTGAACTGAAAATAGGTTGCACCCCACAGCTCTGCCACATTTATTGCGTTACTGTGGCCGTAAACTGTGTGCCATGATCGGATAAGATCTCTCTGGGGAATCAAACCCGGGAAAAGATCGTTTCAGCGTGAATATTAGAAAGGGCTACACCTTCTTAGTATCGGGTGGTGTAGTCAACTACGGTTAGAATATATTTTTTCACAGAGGAGCTCGACTTGCTTAGGGGTCATATCAGGTTTACAGCTACCCGGTGAAAGGGTTCGTCCACTATAGCTAGGGACCTTAATTTTGCTTTAGGGTGGTCTCCTCTCTTCCCTTCCCGCTGACAGGTATCACAGGTTCTGCAATATTCTTGCAGGTCCCGTGTGACTCCGGGCCAGAAGAATGCTTGCATGAGCCGGTGAGAGGTATTCCGATTGGCTAAATGCCTTGTTAGGGGAATATGGTGGCTAAGCTGTAGTAGCTTTGTCCGGTATTTCCACAGCACTACCAGCTGTCTTTTGGAAACCTTGGTGGCCCCCCACCCAGTCCCTGCTGTCACTCGGTATAGTAGGTCTCCCACCCACTTCCTTACCCCCTCAGCCCCAGTTGCTGCTAGCCTGCGGTATCTGGCTAATATAGGGCCTCACCTAAGTTGCCTCCCAAAATCCACAGCTTGTACCGGGTCCACCTCATGAAGCATGGGCCAAATATCGTGGGTGGCACCCAGATCACCCACGAACGGTCTACCTCTACACAGTGGGCCGCAGCTCGGGGCCTGTTAGATGGGGGTCGGTTCCACTCCGTCTGGCTTCACTAGGGGCAGTTGTTCCTGTAATGCCCGGGCTGTTTACACCCATGGCACAGAGGGGGGTGCGACGTGGCTCAACTGCAGTAGCCGTGGGGCACTGTGCGGAGGGCCGGGGTTATAGGGTTGGGGATGAGGTAGCGAGGTGGGGGTCAGCTTGTGGGGCCGAGGGACTAAATGACCTGTAGGGGGTCCCGCCCTCCGGCAGTCCTGGAACTCATCAGCCAGTTGGGCGGCTTCCTCCACTGTGAGGGTTTTCCGGTCCTTGACCCAGTCTTGGACCTCCAGTGTGATGAAGTCAAAGAATTGTTCTAGGAGGATCAGTTGGATGGCATCCTCCACCATTACTGCTTGGCATCCTTGTAACTAGTTATGGGCTGCCCGTTGCATGTGGAAGGCAAACTCCGTGTATGAGTCCTGGTGTCCTGGTGCCCTTTCCGTACGTCTCAGGACTTCATCCGGTAGGCCTCCAGGGTCACAGCATACCGGGCCAGCAGCTTTTCTTTAACTTTTTTTCATATTGGTGAATTTCTGCATCACGTACTGCTCGATTTGCCTCAGCCGCACGCCCCGACAATTTTCTGCTTAGGACGGCAGTCCATTTAGCCCGATTCAGCTCTTCTAGGGTACGTTGCCGTTCAAAGTCCTGGAGATAGAGTCTCTATCCACAGTAATGTAAAACATAAGCCTGCCCCGACGTCGCTGTGTCTGGGAGATAATGGTATCTCCGAGACACAGGAAGCTGACACACAAAAACTCACAAAATACACAGAACACAGTAATGAATCCCCACATGCCCTACATCCATGGATAGCTCCTGGTCTGAGCTATGTTCCCTTCGGTGTGATTGGAATTATAGAGCCTGAGAAATCAGAATGTAAAATATGGGCTCGGAGCTCTGTACATACCCAAAAACAGTTCCACAAGATCACTTGGTTAGGCCGGTGAAAGCTGCGGCCAATCAGGAGAAAGGGCGCGAACACGCAGCGGCCAATCAGTATTCAGGGGGAGGTGTTTTGCTGACCAATCGGGAGAAAGGGCACAAAACCAATTTGAATGGTAGCACTTCTCCCATTGGTCGGCACGGTCTCTGCGATTGTGAAGCCATGTGGGTAGCAGCAGGGACCGCTGTTTGGGGTGGTGGGGAGCGGGAGGGCTGCACTCTGTTGGGGGACACTGTTATATTAGCACAGTTCATTAAATTGGAATATTCCTGTATCAAGCTTTTTTTTCCATTGACATCCTGGCTTTCATAATTAGCTATTTTTGTAGATATGACTCCAAGGGTAAAGTCTTAGGGTAGGGATCATTGAGTTTTGCTTTGGCACAAACCCTAGCTATGTCTGGAAGCTAGAAACAACCTTTGTGCATGAACTCTCTAATGACAGGCTGCTCAGCAAGATGGTCAAGTTTCTTATTTGCAGAGTGATTCTGCAATGTGCTTACAAAGGGACTTTGGCTACAGTTTTCTATTTTGTCCTAGATGCAGGGCTCTAGAGAAATTCTTGGGATGATATGGGTCACAAAATAACGACTATCTCACTAGATTCAGGATTGTTGTCAACTTTGGTTTTTTAGTTCATGAAGAGCTGGGGCCTCAAAAATTAAATTATTCACCCTTTCTAGTGCTGTAGTGGCAGGCAAAAGAGCCAGAGACGTCATGCCCCCCATTGATAGGAGTTACAATGTTTTCAAATGGTTTGACTTCTTACCTGGGGTCCTCTAGGTGCTGCTACAGGACAAATGGGATGCACAGGAACAGACAGTGTTGAAGGCCCTGCTCAAACAAGCTTACACTCTAAGGCGAGTGGGGTAAAGTGGCACTAGAGTTATGGGTAGGATGTATTTCATATAGAGGGAAAATAAGTTTGCTAGAGGAGTTTATACATTTTTTGCTGATACAGTAACTGGAGAGGAAGCAAAGGGTGAGAGAGTAAGCTGTTAACAGTTTAATTGAATGCCTTCCTGAAGCTAGTTTTCAGATACTTTTTTTGAAGAAATAGAGACTGGGTGAGAGCAGGAAGTTCCGTAGGAACAGTGCAGCCCTAGAGAAGTTTTAAAGGTGGGTGTCAGAAGTGCAAATACGAATAGCGGATAGACGCAGATCTTCGGCAGAACGTAGGTGCCTGATTAGGTCCTGCTGCCATGCTTCTATCTCCTGTAGCTCCTGCTCTCCTTCCTTTATCAGTGGAGAGGGCAGGGACATGCTTCAACAGCCAATCTCAGCCTTCTCCACACAGCTCTAGCACCAACGAGTTTTCCTAGCCCAGCCTTAGAGCACTGCACACCCTGGTGGCCGGTGCCAATACTGCAGCACATTCTCCTTTGGAATACCAGCACCGGCCACACAGCATGAAATACTGGCTGTGCCGGTAAAATACCGGCAAGGTGGCAACCTTAGGCCTCGGGACATACTTGAATATTACTGAGGACGGGTAGGTAGGAAGGAGTGTTAAGTAGACATTTATAAACAATTACCAGTTTTAAATTGAGCCCTAAAGCTTACGAGAAGCCAGTGTAAATAATGATAGAGGGGCAGAGGTGCAGGGCATGGACAGGAAGGTGAGCCTCACCGCAAAATTCACGATAGACTGTAGCGGGGCAAGCCGGGAAGGCATAAGACCAATATGAAGCAGATTTCTGTAGTCAAGATGGGAGACATATACTGCACCACAAACAGCCCCATCCATAAACACAGCCCCACATGCAGCATCCCCACAAATACACACAATACACAAGCAGTGAAAAATTAGGAAATAGCAAATTTACAGGGTTATTAACTAAAGTTAGAATTCAATGTAAATTCAAAGTTAATTTGAAAATTCGATTTAGTTTTAATTCTCACTTAGTAAATAACCCTGTTACTATGAAGTAGCAACCAGGAAGACTAGATCAGTTGGATAATATGCCATTTGTATGTTATAGCACTTCATTTATGTTTGGCTTGAATTTGCAATTCACTTGTCAATTAAATGTTTCCAATGATCTAGTGCTTCAATTTCAGAGTTATTTACGAACGTAAGAATTCAAAGAGAATTTCAAGTTTTATGACGATGTAGCTGAACTGTTTTTTGTTGTTGTTTTTTTACATTTTGACAGCATGGCTATTTTGACATTTGAATTGTCTCTTTAGTAGATAATCCTGGTAATCCTTAAAATCTAAAAATAAATTTAAAAAAAGATTATCAAATTCTCTAGCACCCTCTACTGTTTGTTTTAGGTGTTGTATATACATTAAAAAAGCCAGAAAATGTTCAGTATTTTAGTATTTCTACAAACAAGTAATACATCTTTTCTGCAAGAAAATAGTAAGACAAGCATGAAAAGTGACTGCCAGAAAGTCTGAAAAGATATTCTGAGGATGTAATCTGTCATATAAAATTGTATGAAAAGTCTTAATGCTTCATAGGATGTCTTTTCTGTGTAAACAGAGATGTTTTTGATGCCAAGGTATCATAAGGACACATGCAGGGAACTGAAACAAAGGAAATCTTAAACACTTGAATGTCAATGTTTTTGTGTGTTGCATGTGTGTTAATGTGTGTGTTATTGTGTGCAGAGGAGTACATAGGCTATCTGGCCCCCAGGGTAGAAATGTATTTTATCACATAATTCCCCTCCCCCTTTACCCCCCATCCTCGAACAGGCAATCCCCCTGCTGGTGGAAAAAAGTTTGAAAAAAGTAAAAAAAATTAAAGTTAATAAATGTTAACAAATTATATTTGTACATATATATATATATATTATTATAAAAAATAAATAATAATTCATTAAAAATAAATTAAAAAATTGAAAAATATTTTTTCAAGAATGAAAAATATTATATATATATGTAATTTTATTCTAACTGTATTTTGATATTAATA